CACACACACACACACACACACACACACACACACACACACACACACACACACACAGTCTGTTGCCACAGTCTGCAGCCAGATTACATCAGTGATATTGCTTCTGCCATTATTAGGTTCTGTGGAAATGAGGTTTCCACTGCTGCTTGCTGCTGCAGATGGGATGATGTGTGTGTGTGTGTTTGTGAGTGTGCGTGCCTGTCTGTCTGTGTGTGTAAATGAGACTGTCTGGACATGTCTGAAGGTAGGGGATATATGAATGCAAATATGTGTAAGTGTGTGTGTATGTGTGCGTGTGTTGCTGTCTGAAGGCTTGTGGCACTAAAGGATATTGGCTGACCCTCCCCTGAGATAAAAGCTTTCCTCTGAAGTCCAGTTCACAAGTCAACAGTGATGAGCTAGATAGCTTTCGGTCTGGAGGCGAGTGGATGTTATCTCTAAGGATGACATGAAGAGGTCTATAGCTCAGCAAATTATATTAGTTTGCATCACAAGAGTGGGCATTTCTAAATCTACTATGATGATTGAAGGGCTGTTGGCTACAACGAAAAACACTCAAATTCTGGAGAAACAAATAATTGAGTTGTACTTTCTAAAATCTGTCGAGTAAGAACCTTAATGTGCCATATGATCATGGTGTGATATATGTTACTTTTATATCGAACAACATCACTTTTACGACACTTTGCAGTGTTGCAGGTTCATTTTCCAGCTAAAAATAGAAACTAAATATCTGCAAAATAATTCTGGACAGATTGTGGTCAGGTGTATACTGTTTTCTTTAACAATCCTGCATGTCAGGATAAAAACCAAACCTTGAAGTCCAAAGAACTACATGAGAAATTGCAGTTGAAATTGAAGGACAACAGTCATCAGGCAGTTGCATAAAACTCTAATAGGACTGTTCATCATCCAGCCAATACCACCACTGTAATGAAGCATGGGGATAGTAGCATCATGCTATAGGTTGATTCTCAACAGCACAAGCAGGGAGACAGGTCAGACGTGAGGGAAGGATGAATGCGGCCAAATAAAGAGAGATCATACGACTTGAAACTATGGCCATGACAACACTGGAGTACCTTATCCAGACTTATGCCACAGAACATTTGTTGAAAGACATGATGTGACAGACTGATAGAGTTCAAGACTGTCCAAACACAGTTGTGCAAAGCCTGCAGACTTACCCAAGAACATGCCAAAGGAGCCTCAAAAATGTATCAATTAAGAATCTGATATTTAAAAATGCAACATTTTTAATATGACCAAAACTCAGTGAGCACACTGGAGTGTGTAGTAGGAGCAGAAGTGACCTCAGTGCTGATGTATATTCAAGTGACAAGACAGCTGGTGTTTGAGGCTGTTCACTCAACACACTGTGTAAAAGACTCTTTCTGAGCTGTTTTTTATTAGGGACTGCATTAGAGCAGACTTATTGAAGTTTCCTGTAAATGATCTGGAACACTGAAGGAATGTAGCGTTTCCCATGAGTCCTCCCAGCAGACAATGGACTAATGGCAAAATGGTGTGGTTAAAGCCAACTGATGGCTTCTACAGCGATGCTAATTTTCATTTTATAATTTCTGTTATTACTGCTACTACTAATAAATAATAATAATGATAATAAATGATATAAAAAACAACTTAAACCTGAGTTAATTGGTATTAAAACAAAATGTAATGAAATATAAATAAAATACTAATGGAAAGAAAAAAAAAGCTGCACATAATCTCTCCATCTTTCATCAGAATATATTACTGCTGTGTGGCGAGTCACCCTTGTTTCCTTCAGAAGCAGGTGCTGTTATATGATATGATACCTTTTATTGCTGAAATTCCTCCTGTGAGCCCAATAATACAAACAGAGGGGAGCTTTCATAAAAATGCACCACAAGTGGTTTTATGGGCTTTTGTTGTATCAAATCTATTCACCTCAGAATAGCTTTTAGAATTGTTTCATCATCCTCGGGCATTTGTGCACATTTAGCTTGCTATTACTAGCAGGGGGGGGGGGGAAGGGGGGGGTTATGTGTAAGTCTGGTGTGTGGATGCATGTTTGTGTTGAACTCAGTGAAAAAAAGGTTTTATTAACTGAGGTGTTAACTGACTGTTGGACACTTTGAGTGGAGGTATAGAGATGTGCTGCCAGTGTACTTATACATGGTGTGGTTTCTCTACTTTTCTGCACTTGTGTCTAAATTTTTAATTCTAGGATTTTTGTAGGTTCATCCATCCATCCATCCATCCATCCTCGAGCCTATCCCAGCTGTCATAGGGTGAGAGGCGAGGTACACCCTGGACAGGTCGCCAGTCTGTCGCAGGGCTAACACACAACCATTCATGTTCACATTCACTCACACATTCACACCTATGGGCAATTTGGATTAATCAATTAACCTATCCCCACAAACTGCATGTCTTGCATGCATGTTTTGTAGGTTTTAGGGACTAATGTGTAAGTGTTTATTTTTTGTTTTTTGACCATCAAAAAAACTAAAATCTGGCACATAGGGCTGGTAATAAACAGAATATAAATATCATTTTATTGTTTTTATTCAAACTAAAACTTGATTCCATATTTGTGAAGCCATAACAACATCAGTCTCTTAGTGCCTGTGTAGTGCACATTTTTCTCACCTCCACCTGCAGCTCCTTGGCTGTGGCAACCTGTAGCTCAGTGGGTACGATGCACTGCAGAGTGTTTCCGACTAGAGTCAGACTCTCACAGCTGTGGTTGGAAACGGTGAGGACCTGACACTTCATTGCTTCCCTGTCCATCCGATCGCCCTGCAGTAGGGAGAACAGGGTTGGAAAGAGAGAAAAGAAGGATTAAGGAGGGAGCGAGAATAGGAAAAAGAAATGACATTTAAGATCAAAATTTTCCAAAGGTTGGTCAACTTGAAGATTGAAGTAGGACTCAACAACATTGCACCATACTTTAATACTAAGATAAAGGTTTACATATTTAATTAGCATTAATCAGTTCTAGTAACTTAATTTTACAGTTCTCTTGTGCAGTTGCAGAACTAATTCTCTCGCCTGGAGCCAAATTTCGGAGGCAAATTCATGGCTTTTTTTGAGGGCATACTGGAATTTGTAAGCAGAAGGCACCGAAACCAGAGGAAAGCATGCCAAAGCAAATGAGGTGCATCCTTCTTCTTCACAAAGTTAATGATGACTCATAGTGATTTAAACCAGTGAACACAAACTGGACATCTTATTGGAGCTGATGAGATTAAGATAGAGCAACTGTCTAGGGTTCTAGCTGCGTGAACCCTAGTGGGATGACAACAAACACCCCACTGAGATGTGACTGGAGGCACACGCAGCTGCTCACCACGTGAGTGTGAGTGCGTTTAACTGAGTTAGTGAGCATGTGCTCTTTGACGGAAAGCTGTGAGAAAATATTAGCGCTTAATTGGCTCTTCTGGCTCCACTCATTTCCTACTCTAGGATTCTGTTGTTCCCGCGTCTTCTCTGCTCGTTCTTGTGATTTCACATCTCTCTTCCCCTCTCCCTCTGGCTCACACACAGACATAAACACACTTGTTTGAGTGCAACAGAAGGCAATAAAGAGAATGATCACATTCCTTGCGTGACAGCTTGGGATTTTCCAATTTGATACAGAGTGGTAGCTCACACCTGTTCCTGCACTCACACACTTTCCCTCTTATGCAAACGCAAACACACACACACACACACACACACACACACACACACACACACACACACACACACACACACAC